TGTACCTTCTCCGACGGCTCTGTCGCAGTGGCTGAGACCGCTGCTGCAGCGCAGTCTCGTTCGGTGAAGGGCCGCCGCCCCAAGGTTGGGCGCGGCGGAGGCGGGGGTGCGGGAGGGGGTAGTGGTGGGGTCGGGTCGTCTGGTGCTGGAGCGGACGAGGGGACCCTGCCCAGTCTGGCTGAGCCGCCGCCCCTGCAGTTGCAGCAGCCGCAGCAGCCGCCGCAGTCGCAACCTTCGCCGCAGCCGCAGCAGCCGTCGCAGACGCGGCAGCCGAGTGTCCTCCTGCCCGGGTGGCTTGGCGCTGGCGGTGGCCGGGCGCGTGGTGGTGTGTCGAGTGGTAGCTCTGGCGGCGGGCGCTGTCAGTACCAGATCCAGACCGGTCCTCGCCGCGGCTTTGTTTGCGGTAAGATCGGTCACTCCACTCCCCGCTGTTTTCGTCGCCTGGACGACCTCTTTCGTCAGCGCTTCGGCCCGTCGCCCGACCTCCCGGACTGGCACAGTTTGCTTAGTCGTAAGATTCAGATCTTTGATATGGACATGGATGCCATTGTTTCTGCTCTGCATGTGATGTATGCTGATGACTCTAGTGTGCTTCTAGCTTATTACTCACTGTTGCCTAGTGTAGGTGTGCCTAGAGTAGCCTCCCCTGCTGCGTCAGGCCTAGGATCCTCTGCTTTGTGTAGTCTTGGTGCTTCCGCCGTCGTTCCGTCGCCAGCCGCCTCTGCTTCGCTTTCCTTCACCTTGAACTCAAGCGCTTCTCGGTGTTTCTTCCGCGACTCCACCACCCTGACGCCGCTTCCTGTTCCTGCTGCCGTTTCTCTTGCTGACCCCTCCGGCGGTCCGGTAGTCGCCCGCAGTTCCACCACCCTTCCCTGCCCGGTGGTTCCTTCGGGCTCTCTTACAGGTCTGCATATCCCCTCGTTCTCCAGGAACCTAGTTGGTGTCGGCTACCTCCAGGACCTTGGCGTCACCACTACGTTCCCTGGTCACGAGCGGTATGCTGTCTGTACCGAGGCCGCCACTGGTGCCCCCCTGTCCACGTTCCCCCGGGACCCGGTGTCTGGCCTGTTCACTCTGGACACCGTGACCCCCCCGGCTGGGGCGCTCCCTCAGGTGGCTGTGTCTACTCAGGTTGCTGCTGCCTACTCCTGTCGGTCCCTCACTCACCCGACGCTCCTCTGGCACCACCGCCTAGGTCACCCTGCGCTCCCGCGTCTGCGTCACATGTCCCAGCACGGTCTTGTCCTTGGTCTCCCAGGTTCTCTCCCTGCGTTTCCCTCCTCCCCAGCCCCCCCTTGCACGCCTTGTGTCGAGGGTCGGCTTCGCCGTGCCCCTCACTCCTCCTCGTTTCCCCCTACCTCCGCGCCGCTGCAGACCCTGCACCTGGACGTCTGGGGCCCCGCCCCTGTCCCTGGGCCGCGTCGAGAGCGCTACTTCCTTGTGCTCGTCGACGACTTCACTCGTTACACCACAGTCTTTCCCCTGGAGCGCAAGGCCGACGTGTCTGGCGCTCTCATCCGCTGGCTTGTCTCTGCGCGTGTCCACCGCGGTCTCCCTGTCCTGCGTCTTCACTCAGACCGTGGTGGCGAGTTTGCCTCAGGTGTCCTTGGTCGCTTCTGTCGTGCGGAGGGCATCACCCAGACGTTCACCCTACCGGACTCCCCACAGCAGAATGGGGTCACTGAGCGACGCATCGGTTTGGTCATGGAGGTGGCTCGCACCTCCATGATCCATGCCGGTGCACCCCATTTTCTGTGGCCGTTCGCTGTGCGCTACGCTTCTCACCAGCTTAACTTGTGGCCGCACCCTCAGCAGTCGCAGGTTTCGCCGACCCGTCTTTGGACTAGGTCTCCTGGTGACGCGTCTGCGTTCCACGTCTGGGGCTGCCTTGCTCACGTCCGTGCCTCCGGCACGGACAAGCTCACTGCCCGCACCCTTCCCTGCGTCTTCCTCAGTTTTCCCCTTGACGCGTCCGACTGGCACTTTTACCACCCGCCGTCTCACCGCTTCTTTCACTCTCGTGACGTCACCTTTGACGAGTCCGTCTCCTACTACCGTCGCTTCCCCCACCGTGGTCCCCCGGTTACCCCCCCCCTGTTCCTGGTCACTCCTTCCCAGGTAGTCCCCGCCCCTCCTCCTCCTCCTCCCCGTCCCGCCCCCTCTGGTGTGTCCCACGTCACCCCCCTTCCGTCGGTGGACCCGGCTGGGGAGTCTTCTGACTCTGGTGGCCCTCCTGTGCAGTCCTCGCCGGCCGCCCCTCCCCTGGCGTCCCCTTCCCAGTCCCCTCCTCCACCGCCTCTGCCGCCGTTGGAGCCGTCGTTGTCGCTGCCGCCGCCGCCGCCGCCGCCGCCGCCGTCGCAGCACTCGTTCGCTGACTCTGGGGGTGCTCGTCCCGGTAGCCCTGGGGGTGGTCCCTCTGGGGGTGCGAGTGTGGAGAGTGCTGGTGGTAGCCGAGGAGCAGCTTGCGGTCCAGGTGTCGCCGTTGTGCCGCCGCAGCAGCAGTCGTTGCCGGTGTCCGCCCTTCGCCTGCTCGGCCTTCCGTCCCCCGACCCTGCGTCGGTTCCTCCCCGACCGTCTCCTCCTCTTCCTATCTACGGCCCTGTTTTTCCTCCGCCGGACTCGTCCCCGGCTCGTCTCCCCCCTCGTTCCCCTCCTGTGTCCCCTCCCCTGTCTCCTGACCCGACTACTCCGTCGCACGTATGGTCTCACCGCCCCTCCCGTGCTCGTCCTGCCTCGCCTGTCTTGCGCTCCCACCCTATGTTGCTTCGTTCCCACGCGTCTCGCCCTCCCCTTCTGCCGTCGCCTCCTCCGTCCTCCCTTGTTGTTGCACCCCCCCCGCTGTCTGACTACCTTCGTGCCGCTTGTCCTCTCGTTCCTCGCGTCCTTGCCTCTCTCGTTACCGACCCGTCTGTTCCGGTCCCGTGCCTTGACACTCTTGTCGCTGCTGTCGCTGACTTCGCCTCTACCCGCCGCCTTGACTACGCCACCGCTCTGGTCTCTGACCCTGCCTGTCCTCCGTCTGTCGGAGGTGCTTCTGCCCTTGGCAGTGACGTCCTGGAGGACCGCCAGTTCGAGCTTGCTTTCCTCTCCGAGGCTGCTCCCCATCTCTGTTCCATGCTGCTAGTCCCTAAGGGTGACCCAGACGCTTTCGATATCCCGACCCCTCGCACTTACGCTGAGGCGACCTCGGGACCCTGGGCCTCGCAGTGGATAGCTGCCATGGAGCAGGAGATGGCATCTTGGAGATCCACCGGCACCTTCGTCGACGCAGTTCCCCCACCTGGGGTGAACGTAGTCGATGGCCGCTGGCTCTTCAAGGTGAAGCGCCCTCCTGGAGAGCCGCCGGTCTTCAAGGCGCGCTATGTGGCTAGAGGCTTCAGTCAGCGCGAGGGGGTGGACTTCTTCCAGACCTTCGCTCCGACCCCGAAGATGACTACTCTTCGGGTTCTGTTACACCTAGCGGCTCAGCGTGACTACGAGCTTCACTCCCTCGACTTCTCCACTGCCTTCCTTCAGGGCAGCCTACACGAGCAGGTCTACCTGCGTCGCCCTCCGGGCTTTACTGGCACCTTCCCTCCTGGTACCCAGTGGCTCCTGCGGCGCCCCGTCTACGGCCTGCGCCAGGCTCCTCGTGAGTGGCACGACACTCTTTGTGCTACCCTTGCTGACCTGCAGTTCTTTCCGTCTTCCGCAGACCCTTCACTCTTCGTTCGTGCTGGCCAGACTCCGTTCTACATCCTTGTTTACGTCGACGACCTGGTCTTTGCCACAGCAGACAGGGACGCACTGGCCTCCGTGAAGGCAGAGCTTCTGAAGAGACATACGTGCACTGACCTTGGAGAACTGCGCCGTTACCTTGGCTTGCAGATCTCCAGGGACAGAGCTGCGCGCACCATCACCCTGACTCAGTCACACTTGGTGCGCCAGGTCCTTCAGAGGTTCAGCCTTCAGTTCTCCTCTGCACAGCCCACCCCTCTGCCTGTAGACCACAGGCTCTCCGCTCCAGTGTCTGAGGAGTTGGTAGAGCCCAGCGGCCCCTACGCAGAGCTGGTGGGTTGCCTCATGTACCTGATGACTTGCACTCGCCCAGATCTCGCATACCCTCTCAGCATCCTGGCTCGCTTTGTGGCCACAGGCAGACACCGACCGCAGCACTGGTCTGCCGCTAAGAGGGTTCTGCGTTATCTTGCTAGTACATCGGGCATGGGGTTAGTGCTAGGAGGACGCAGGCCAGTGGTCCTTACTGGACACACAGACGCTTCGTGGGCAGACGACGCCGAGACACTCAGGTCTTCCCAGGGCTACTGCTTCAGCCTTGGTTCAGGTGCCGTCTCTTGGAGAGCTACCCGCTCCTCGTCTGTTGCTCAGTCCAGCTGTGAGGCCGAGATCTACGCTGGTGCCATGGCGGCACAGGAGCTCCGCTGGCTGACCTTCTTGCTCACTGACTTAGGTGAGCGGCCTAGCTCTGCCCCGGTCCTGTTCGCTGACAACAGGGCCATGATCCTCCTGTGTCAGGAGCCTCGACTCGAGGGCAGAGCGAAGCACATTCAGCTGCGGTACTTCCTCCTGCGTGAGCTACAGCAGCGACGTCAGGCTCGCGTAGTACACTTGGCCTCAGGTGCCAACACGGCTGATATCTTTACGAAGGCGCTTGCGCCTAAAGATCATCAGCGGCACTGTGTACAGCTTGGTCTAGTTCCTGTAGCCTCTCACTTGCTAGGACCTTGACTTTGTACTGTCCTTTATACGTATACTCAGACTGGACTTGTGTCCTCTCGCAGTGGCTGGACTAGTAGTGCCGCCCTGCTCTTGTTCTTGCCTTGTTTGTACTCCTTCTGACTGGTCTCTTAGACCCTTGTCTCAGAGGTTGGACTAGTAGTGCCGCCCTGAGCTGTTTGTTTAGGGCATTCTCCTATGCAGTCTAGGGGGTGTGTCAAACATGTGTATTTGTCATGTTTGTATAGACTGTATAGGGTCGCCTCTTAGAGAGTACAACACTTAGGTATATCTTTGTGTACTCTCACTCTATCCATCATTCAATTTTCAATTCTGATACCACCTGCCAACATCTTGAATCACGACCTGTACATGTCAGTACCAGAACTACATACAAAGACCGTGGCATGCTCGATGAACAGCCGTCAGCTGCTTTTTGCCTCCATTCGATATGACATTCTGCAGTATGTGATCCCAGAACCTGCACGGGTTCAGCCAAAAGCTCCCTACCAGGGCAGACGTGTGTCCAAACTGTGGTGAGGCTGCGCAGTGCTCAGTGTGCAGCATGCAGTGCGCAGTGTCCGCCCTCCCAGTTTGTGGCACGAGAGCGGCGTGTCTGCTATGGAAGAAACGGGTTCCTGGACTTGCTGTCCTTGGTAGCTTTCTTGTACGAGCTGCGCTCACGTTGCAAGGAAGAAAGGTGGGACAATATTTTCTGGAGCGCTAACAGCCATCAAGACCGTCGACAACGAGTGACTGCGAATGAGAGATGAGACAGAGGAGCCAGGGGGCGGCAACGTGAGGGGGTGTGGGGTGGGGCTTACTATACGAGGCAGGAGGTGCCGAGAGAGACAGTGCCGAGCACGAGGAGCACGAAGGGCAACGCCACCAGCCCGTGGTGCGACAGGCTGCCGCGCGGCACCACACTTCCCGGTCCCCCCCCCATTCCTGCTGCCATTCGTGCTGCCATTCCTGCTGCTCCAGCAGCGGCAGCGGTACTTGTGGTAGTGTGCATGGAAGAGGGCGAGGAGGGAGAGGGGCGCCTTCTCATGGGGTGATATTTGGCTGGCCCTGCGAGGAGGCGAGTAGGGGGGGGGGGGGAGGGACATGGAAGGAGGGTTAGTTAATCGTGGCAGGAAGTTGCTTGAGTGGATGCAGCGTAAAGCAGATGCAGGAGGAGGAGATACAAGGGAGGATGGGAGGAGAGAAAAGAGGTGGAAGAGAAAGGGAAGGGCATGCAGTGTGTCGTTGTGGGAAGAGCATCGCACTCACGGGAAGACAACAAGTGGTAGGCCTCTAGAATCTGCAGCACCCAGAGGCGCAGCACACAGGGATGCCCGATTGCGAGGCCAGACACACACGCACATGCACAGAATAAGGTTGTGAGAATCAGAGAAGAGAGGAGAGAGAGCAAGAAATTGGCAATCAGGCCCCGACGTGAGCAGCAGCAAACTACCCCAACCCAACCCCCCATTTCGCCTTCCTCCACCTCTTCCTCCCCCCTTCCTCCCCCCTTCCTCTACAACCATTCCCCCCTCCCCCCTTTTCCCCCCCGACCTTTTTGAACTCCGCCTCGGCCTTGCCACGCATGCCAGGAGGCACCACATCTGGGTGCGTGCGCTTGGCCAGCTGGTGGAAGGCGGACCGCACCTGTGCGCGGACAGGGGGGCGCATGGGGATTGGGGACAGGTGGGGGGAAGGGCGCAGGGAGGGCGAGGGGGAGCGGACAGGGGGGTGCAGGAAAGGTGGTGGAGGGTGCGCTTGGCCCGCCGGTGGAAGGCGGACCGCACCTGCGGGCGGGCGACGGAGGAGAAAGGTGGCGCGGGCGGGCGGGCGGGCAGGCGGGCGGGCAGGCGGGCGGGCAGGCGGGCGGGCGGGCGGGAGGGTGATGGCAGCGCGCTGGTACTAAAGGGGCGAGGCGGGCTCACGGTGGCAGTTGAAGGGAGGGAGACGCGCGGGCCGAGGTGTCTGGGAGAGCATGGCGGGGGAGCGACGAGGAGAGAGGCAGCGCGGGCAGCGAATGGGACGGCAGGATTCGTGGGCGCGGGGCGGCGAGGCGGGCAGTGGGTGCACGAGAGGAGGGCCGGCACGTGCGTTGGCAAACGGCAAGTGGTAATACTTAGTACTTAGTACGTAGTACAAGCGCCGTGTCACTCACCTCGTCCCTGTGCGCGCCGTGCGCGAGTCCCAGCGACCGCAGCGCGTCGCCGTACCGCATGGCGCGCAGCACGCACGCCCGCACGCACGACGGGGCAGGACGCTACGTGAGAATCTAAGCCTCACGAACCATGCGAATGGCGATTGGACAACGGCGAGAGGGGCGACTGTGGGAGAAACGCCTAAGGCCAACCCCCAAGTAGATGCATCACGTGCTACGAACAGACGAATGGTACGATGTCGTAGGAGGCAGTGAGGGAATGACTAGTGCGGAACGGAAAGTCGTAGTGTACGATTATTGAGCGCTACGGTGCTTGTGTTGCAAGAGCCACGTGTCGTCTCTGATCCCCAGCGATGATTGGAAACCATGCTGCGCAACAATGGCGCACTGCAACGGAACCTGATAACCGCACTCCACCATACCAAACGAACTTGCGGAGTCATGTGGGTCTGATTCGTGAGGTCACTTTTGACCTCCATTGTTTGCTGAGCTCAAACCCTCAAAACTCTCAAAATTATGGCATAAGGGAAAGAAGGGGGAGGCAAGGGGGAGGGCAGAGAGGGTGCACGAGAGGAGAAAGGAGGTGAGAGAGATGGGGAGAACGGAGAGAGAGGGGGCGCAGGTAGTGAAGTGAGAGAGTGGAGAATTTCCAAGCGAAGGCTTCTGAGAGACGGGAGGAGGAGGAGCGTGGAAGGGAGGGAGGAGACGGAATCGCAGTTGTGAATGGTGAGCTCCTGGAGGCGGGAGAGGCGGTGTATGCAGGAGGGAACGGAGGACAGGTGAGGTAAGCCCTTGAGCGTGAAATGGGAGAGGTGGAGGAGGAGGGTGATGGAGGAAGGGAGGCGGCGCAGGTGCTGGCTGCGGGATAGCACCAAGTGCTGCAGCGACCGCAGGAGCCCAGCATTGCACAGAGCAATGGCTACACCTCTTGTGGCGGCACTTGTGGCAGCACTTGTGGCAGCACTTGTGGCAGTATTTGTTGACGCGACAGTCCTTAAAGTCTCTATCTCACTGCTTGCAGCATCAGACACATGTTTCCCGTGCAGCAGCGGAATCATGCTTTTCCCCACTCTGCTTCGCCCTTCGCCCCTCCCCGCTGCTGCCAATGCCACCACCTCCCTTCCAGACGCATCCCCTCCATCTTCCTCTCTACCTGTTTCGGCCTCTTGCCTCCTCTCGCCCCCACCCCCACCACTGCACTCAAATGGCATGTGGACGAGTCTGTCACAGGCAAGTGTGAGAGTACGAAGGGAGGGGAGGGAGGGGGGCAGGTGCGTGAGCATGCCACAGTCTGAGAGGGAGAGAGTGCGCAGAGAGGCGAGCAGGGAGAGGGCAGGCGGAAGGGAGGAGAGGGAGAGGCAGCGGGAGATCTCGAGCGTGTGGAGGGCAGAGAAGAGGGAGAGCGAAGGGGGAAGGGCCCTGAGGCTAATGCACCTCCTGATTCGGAGCTCCTGTCGGCAGGTGAGGGGACCAAGAGGAGGGAGCGAGGAGAGGTGGGGCGAGTGCTCTATGTGAAGGCGCGTGAGGGAGGAGAGGGCGGAGAGCTAGGGTGGGAGATGCGTGAGGGCGTAGCAGCCGTCGACGTGCAAGGAGAGGAGGGAGGTGAGGGCGGAGATGTCGTGAGGAAGAGAAGGGAGGGATGAGAAGGCAACGAGGGAGGGATGCTGGGGGGAGGGGAGGAGAGGGAGGGAGGCAGGCAGGGAAAGGGCGCGTGGATGCCCAGCCATGTCGTGCTCCTTTAAATGGAGCTCCTTCAAACGGGGCAGATGCAGGCCGAAGTCAGGAGGGAGGGAGGAGAGAACAGGGTGCTGCATGTTGGTGATTGAGAGGTGCTCCAGGGACGGCTGGTGGAAGAGAGAGGGGGGGAGGAGAGTGAGGGAGTTGCAGCAATCAAGAGAGAGGAGGGTGAGGAGCTCCATGTTGGAGAGTGAGGCGGGAAGAGAGGAGAGGAGGCGGAGGTGGGAGATCTCGAGGTGTTTGAAAGAGGGGAGGAGGCCGAGAGAGGCAGGGAGGTGTGAGAGGCGGTTGCAGTGGGTGACAAGGAGGCGAGTGAGGGAGGAGAGTGAGGCGGCGCAGGGGGGAAGGGACTCCAGCCCGTGACAGTGCTGGACCGTCAGCTCCTGGAGACTTTCCAGCTGCCCGAAATCGGCGGGCAGGGAAACCAAACGGTCACAGTGCATAATGGTGAGGCGGCGGAGGGAGGAGAGGTAGGGCAGGGAGGGAGGAAGGTGCTGTAGGTGGCCGCAGTGGTGCAGAGAGAGGAGCCGCAGTGACTGTAGGTCGCCAAAGGTGTGTGGGAGCTCGGCGCAGGAGGAGAGGGAGACGAGGCGGAGGGAGTGGACGGAGGAGAGGGAGCCGAGAGAGTGAGGGAGGGAGGAGAGGAGGGGGCAGTTGTCGAGAGTGAGGGAGGTGAGGGAGGAGAGGAGGCTGATGGAGGGGGGGAGGAGGGGGAGGGAGGAGCAGGAGACGAGGCTGAGGTGAGTGAGAGAGGAGGTGATCGATTCCGGGAGTGACTGTAACGAAGGGCACTGCAGGTGCAGGTGACGGAGCGAGAGAGGAAGATAAACGAGGTCGCTTGGATTGCCCATGCTGGTCGCTGCGTCAAGTGTTACTCTGGCGTTAGAGTCCAACGGAGCGGTAGCGGAAGCGGGAGAGTCAGGGGAAGCAGGAGCGGGAGCGAGGGAGAGGGAGGTCAGAGCGGAGGTGTGGAGCAGCAGTCGCTGCAAGCATCCATGGTGGCCCATGGCGGGCGGCACCCACTGGACGGCGTGGTGCAGGCAGTCGTCCAGGTCGAGCTCTCTCAACCGCCAGCACCCCTCAAGGAGCGACGCCAGTCCCGCGCCATCCATGCACGCCTGCGTTGCCACCTCCCCGTTGATCTCCCTGATCCTTGAGCCCGCTTCCTCCTCCGCATCCCCCTCTTCCGCACCTCCCCCGCATCCCCCTCTTCCGCATCCCCCTTCCCCGCATCCTCCACCTCCGCTTGCTCTTTCCCATCCCTTTTTTTGCCTCTCTCACCGTCCAAACCACCCCTTTTCTTCTCCGCCCCCTCGCCCTCGCCAACCTCTTCCCTTCTCCGCCAATCAGACGAGTCAGCGCACCGTCCGAGCCGCAGCCTAGTCAGGAGCGGGCATTGCGCTGCAAGACCCGCAAGGAAGCCGTCCGGGGCTTGGCTGAGCGCGCGGTGAGGAGCGGAGACGGACGTGAGGTGGGGAAGCGCGCCGCGGCGGAAAGAAGCTGGCGCGCGGGGAGGCAGCGGTGGGCGGTCGTGGGAGCAACTTGAGCCGTCGGATGCGAATTGGCGGTGGATGGAGCAGAGAAGATCAATCGACGGTTGTGGATGAGCGATGTGAAAAGCGCCACGAGGAGCCATGAGAGCCGACCCTACTCCAGCACGCGCGACATTCTGTTTTCGAGGTTCGGCTATGATGTCCAAATTGAGGATTGCCGTGTGGCAACTTCGATTCACGTTGTACAGTATGTTCTTGCCTTCTGCTGTCGCCGAATTGCACTTGTAGAAGACTACTAAAGTTAAGATAAAGAATACAACACCTGGGATATATAACTTGACAGCCCTCTTTTCCAGTACTCGCATCCCATTTATTTCGTTCCCATTTGTTGGAAATATCTCAAGGACTTAAGCGTTTCTGAAGTGTAACACTGTACTCGAGGAAGATTACAGGGGAGCACGCGAGTCAACGGAGGTTACACGAGGGGGCGGACAAAGAATGCGAAAGGACTCGAAAGGTCGCAACTGGAGGTTGCGACTGACCGTTACAACATCACGGATGGTAACCGAAGCGGCAATCGAGTCGCTGTGCGACTCGATAAACCGTTTCTGTAACTGTATTCTACAACTGCTTTCTTATCTTCTATATATTGCTGTATGCTTGTTTCTTTAATCAATCACTTGTTCTCACATACTAGTACAAGGGTTCAACTGCCTCAACTTCCGCTGCACTACTCCAAGTCTCAAGTCTCTACAAGCTGGTCTTAGGAACTTAGGACTAAAGGTTCTTAAACTTAGGAGGCTAGGTTGGCTAGGATACTAGAAAGAAGACCGCCATGGAATGGCGTGAGGAAAAACGGATCTAGGAGGTGAGAGGATGTCGAGAAGAAAGGTGGTTGGATTAGGAAGAGAGGGGAGTACAAGGAGGGGTTTGTACCCCCTACAGAAAGGTTCAGTAACAACCTACCAAGCCTATATTAAATTATAACTTATATAATTTTAACACACCCCCTAGGCTTGGTAGTGTCAAGCCCACGCACACCCCCACACCCACACCCACACCCACACCCCCTAGCCCAGCACCCCCATTCCCAGCAGGAGCCGCAACGACTCCGGAAGAGGGTAGGTCTCACGGCCCCTTGAGACGGCAATGGCGGCAGCAGCGACAGTGACGACGGCGGCGGCGGCGGCGGTGTGCGGCGGCTCCAGGCCTGCGGCAACAGCGGCGGCGCCGGCGGCTCGAACGACAGAGGCTGGTGCGGCGGCCCCCGCCCTCTCGGCGGCATGTCCTGTCTCCTCGGCGGTGGAGAGGTCCCTCACATGGCAGTCATCGGCTGCAGCAAGAAAGGGGGGGATGCAGGGGAAGCAGGTGCAGGTGGGGGGGGAGGGGAGGGGGCGGGGCGAGGCGAGTCTTCAGCGACGCGCCATAAGTGGCGCGGCGCTTACTGGCAGGAGGGCGGGCAGGTGGCGGTTACGACGGCGTGCTGCCCGCTGCCGCCCATCCACGCTGCCGCGGCAGCATGACGACGCCGCCAGGGCGCGGCGTCGACGCTGTGGCGGCACGCCGACGCTGCAACGGCAGCAAGGTGACGCTGCCACGGCAAAGCGTCGACGCAACCGGCTGCGGCCCGACGGCGCCGTCGACGCTGCAGCAGGACGTCGACGTCGCGACGGCAGAGGCAGCGTCGATGCCGCAGCGGGACGTCGACGCTGCGACTGCAGAACGACGGTCCGACGCCACGGCAGAGCGTCGAGCCGGTCGCGGCACGACGCGGCCAGTGGCAGCGCGACGTCGCCACTGCAGCAAAACGCGGCCGCCATGGCCGCTCGAGCTAATGAGAGTGAGGAGTAAATTGCGGAAGCGTGAGGAGGCGATCCAACAGGGAGGATCTCCTGCTCTGATACCATCTTAGGAACTTAGGACTAAAGGTTCTTAAACTTAGGAGGCTAGGTTGGCTAGGATACTAGAAAGAAGACCGCCATGGAATGGCGTGAGGAAAAACGGATCTAGGAGGTGAGAGGATGTCGAGAAGAAAGGTGGTTGGATTAGGAAGAGAGGGGAGTACAAGGAGGGGTTTGTACCCCCTACAGAAAGGTTCAGTAACAACCTACCAAGCCTATATTAAATTATAACTTATATAATTTTAACAGCTGGGACTTAGTCTCTGCAAAAGATCCTAAGGGCTTTTTCTCAGCCCAACATGGTATGAGAGCTGGTCAGAGATCAAACTCCCAGCAACTACGCTCCATCAACAAACTGCAACTCAACTCAATTCAACGACTTCATTGATTACAAGACATGGACAGCAAGGGCAAGAAAGTCTCTACGGGCTCACCCAGCGGCCAAGAAACTCAACACGGCAACTCTGGTCTGCACACCTCAGGATTGCAGACAGAGACCGGGACTGCTCAAGAAACAACAGGAAGAGTACCAGAGATGGTGACTCCGTCTCCCTCTTCAAGTGTGGACCCGAATCTCATGGAGAGATTCTTCAGCTTCATGTCACACTTCGACCAGCAACAGCAGACAAGGACACCTGCGCATTCAACACAGAGCAATGGAGGAAACATGGGATTAGCGCCGATGAGCCTCGACAACTCATCCTTCGGGCGACACAACCAAGCACCTACCTTTGCGCCTTATCATTCTTCACCGGGGACGTTCGAGTTCATGCCGCCCCGCGCCCAACCAACAGCAGCTGCATCACAACAAACACCAAACGAGATTCTCAGTCTTCAGGCTCAATTCTCACACGTCATCAAGTTACAAACATCCTCACCGTTCAACGGACACGACTTCTTTACCTGGAGCTTCGAGTTCGAGCTGCTGATGGAGGCCGCGCATCTTCTGGGATACTTCAACGGGTCCCTGCCATTCCCAAGCAACGGCACTGGAAAGGAACAAGAGATCTTCACGTATCAGTCGCTACTGGCGTATACAGTCCTCCTGCGGAACCTGTCACCACAAGAGCAGCAGAGCATCAGAACGTATCGGAGTTATGGAAACTCCGCGGAACTCGCATGGCATCATCTCAAATGCCTCTACCAAGCAAACGACAGCGTGACACAAAGCAGACTCATGCAACAGCTGACAACAATACAGATGAAGACCGGGGAAAAGGCGATGCAGTATATGAGTCGCTGCCAGACCCTGCGCGACCGCCTGCTTCGGTGCGGAGGAACGATCACTGAAGAAAGCTTCGTGACACTTGTCCTCGCCGGGCTCGGACCAGAATGGAGAACCACACGATCGCTTCTTCGCGCCCACGGAAGGATCTCGGAGATGCACCTCTGCGCCGAGCTTCACGCTGAACAACAGGAGATGGATCTGTTCGAGGAAAGACAACCAAGGAAGCAACAGCAGTTAGTCTTCTACACTCAAAGAAGAAATGACATAAACTACAACCGACGCAGCAAGCAAGATCAACGCGACAACCGAGGACTCACCATCGTGCCGCCGTTCTGCCACAACTGCCAGACTTCCGGACACTCCAAAGTCAACTGCAACCGCCCTCGCGTTTACCGAGCAGCAGACCCACAAGTTGCTTCCACTCAAGCAAGTTCCCCAAGGCGCTCTTCAACATCTGCACAAGGGACACCAAATATCATCAACTGCATGGTACACATCGACAACTGCGCACCCAGATCACCACCCACTTACGCACCAGACGAAGAGGAATTCCCGCCGCCGCGCTCACAAGGACTTCAGGTCAACCCGACATACGCTGCGGTCGCCAACGCCGAACCCACCGGGCGAAACACCTGGTTCTTGGACAGCTGCTGCGGTCAACACATGTGCTCCTCGGGACGCTTCGTACAACAGGAGAAACGACTCAACCGCGACGTCGTCATCACCGTCGCCAACAACGAAAACCTGAAGACAAACAGACAGGGCGTGGTTCAGTTACAATCAATGGAGACGAATGTCATACTTCAACTCAACAAGGTGCTCATTGTCGACAATCTGGGATACAACCTACTAAGCGTAAGCCAACTAATGGCCAAGGGGATTCACCTGGAGTGCGACTCTTACTCCAACGAGTTCCGGCTTTACCACGGGAAGGGCGGCCTCTTCATCGGTCGTGCCCTCCTGAAGTCCGGTGTCTTCGTGTTGGACTTCGTCCCCGACCGCGGAACTGCCGACAGCGATGGCATCGTATCGTTCGCCGCCTGGACTCACCCGCCGGATCTTGACCCCGACTTCGACAGTGACGGCTTCTGGCACTCCAACACCATACCTGCAGCAGAGAGAACACGAGCATTAGCAGTTATCAGACAAGAAAGACAAGTACCCGCAAGTGTCCCAACAAAACCATCACCTGCAGTATCAGCAGCAGGACCCAGCCGAGTACCACCACCATCAACACGAGGACCGCCAACGGAAGCAGACCAACTTATGCCCGCCACACGAGAAGCTTGTCGAAGTCCCGCCTCAGTCGTCGCGTTCTTCTCCAACGCCGACATCTACCACCGCTCGCCCGGCCACCGCGCTCCCGACGACATCTGGCACCAACGTCTCGGACATCCTGCAAACAGCACGATACTTCAAACAATCCAAGCAGAGGTGTTAGAACGCAACGCCCTTCTGACGACGAACGGCCAGGAACTCCGACGACCACGCGCACGGTGTTTCACATGCCCCGAAGCAGATCTTCCTCATCAACCTTTCCAAGCCCATCACAATCCAAGCGCACCCACTTACGCTCCGATGGAAAAAGTCTACAGCGATATTCTAAACATGCCTCGAGACGACACCGAAGCCGACTTCAACTACGTCATCACGTTCATCGACGCCGCAACCAGATACGTCTGGCACTTCAATCTCAAAACGCGCGATCAAGCCTTCGAGGCCTTCACCACATGGCTTCCAATCGCCGAACGAGAGTCAGGAACCAAACTCAAGAGTTTCCAGTCAGACGGTGCACTGGAATACCAGTCACAACGCTTCAGGACCTATCTCGCGGAAAGGGGAATCCGACGCCTGGTGTCTCTGCCCTATGCTCACCAGCAGCAGGGGGTAGCAGAACGCATGAACCGGACCTTGCAGACGACGATGCGAAAACTGCTTCTGGGGATGAGGCTGCCCAACGCACTGTGGCCAGACGCGATGACACATGCTGTTCACCTGCACAACCTGCTGTCCTCGTCATCACTTCCCAACAACGCATCACCGCACCTGTTGTGGACAAGAAAAAGGGGCAGCACAAAATTACTCCGCGTTTTCGGCTGCATGGTACAGTACAGACCCCACACAGCCCGAGCAGGACGCTTCTCACAAAGAGCTCGATGGGGACTACACCTCGGCATCGCAAAACATTTTCACGCGTGGAAAATTCTCGACATACAAGACAAAAACACGGTGGCATCACGCGATGTTATCTTCTACGAACGACTGACGCTGCAGCATTACCTGGACAACCATGCCAACACACAAGACCCCACCGACGGCTTCGCGGGCCTTCGCTCCTTCGCTGACCATACTGCCGAGGCTGACGCAGCAGAAGAAGACGTACCTGGAGCCTCGGAAGCTGCCGGACCACTCCCATTCTGTTCCGTACCTGTTCCACTCGATGAAGAAAATCCCCTCGATAGCAACAACCTCGACACCTTTTACCACTTCGCCGACCAAGGTTACGCTACACCTCACCCCGTCGACACGAATATTTCGGAACGCATCGGCCCCAATTTCTTACCTGACCCCGAAGACGGTGACGAAGCAGCTTATTCCGGGAATGAAAATTCCCCTCGACACACGCCCACGGGACTCCAGATTCTAGGCCTCTGGGTCTCCGTCCAGAATCCGCCGCCGCCTTCTCCGCGAGAGCCTTCAACGTTGTCGCAGGCTCTGGGGGGGGAACATAAGGCAAGATGGAAGGAAGCAATGGAAAAGGAGTTAAAAGCTCTGCAAGACCGAGAAACATGGAAACTGGTACCTGCAACGAGCATCAACGGAAAAAACGTTCTCTCGGGGAAATGGGTGTACCGCATCAAGACCAACTCAGACGGTTCCATCGAACGATTCAAAGCTCGATGGGTCGTACGAGGCTTCGACCAACGATACGGAGCCGACTACACAGAAACCTTCGCTCCAGTCTCCCGTCACACCTCATTACGCATCCTACTCGCCGTCGCGGCCACGAAAAAACTGCCACTACGCCAAATCGATGTCGCGAATGCATTCCTATACGCACCTGTGGACGCTGAGATCTTCGTCGAACAACCCCACGGATTCATCAACGATCCCACGAAAATATGCCGACTGACAAAATCCCTATACGGGATCAAGCAAGCCCCGCGGCTCTGGCAGCAGCATCTCCACGGCCGTCTCGCAAAGATCGGCTTCCTACAATTACCGCATGACCAAGGGATGTACCGACTGCAGAAGGGAAGAGATTATGTTCTGCTCATCGTCTACGTCGACGACCTGCTCTACATCGGCTCCACTATCGACATCGCCACCTGGTTCGAAGGGGAGCTGAAAGAAGATTTAACTCTCACGGTGTCCGACGAAGTTACTCAGTACCTAGGACTGAACATCGTCGAAGACGACACGGCGTTCTACCTACATGCTGGAAAGTACTCAAGCACCGTCGCGAAGAAATTCGGTCTAGCACCGACTGCGGTCCCAACTCCCTACCGCTACGGGAACAACAGTAGCGCCTCCACAAAACTCCCCGCGAAACAAATCCAGGAGTATCAACAGAAGCTCGGCTGCCTACTATTCGCAGCAGTAACCTGCCGACCCGACCTATCCTATAGTGCGAGTCAGCTGGCGACACATCTGAAGCAGCCGCAACAGGAAGATCTCGAAGAACTCAATCGAGCGCTACTCTACTTCGTCTCCACGCCGACGATCGGGCTCACCTACAGCAAGACAACAACACCGTCCGTACAACTACTCGGATACGTCGACGCCGACCACGCGGGAGACAGCGAAAATCGACGGTCTAGGACGGGCTACATCTACCGACTAGAACCTATCGGAACTATCTCCTGGCAGTCGAGCAAGCAGGAGTTAATCGCACTATCCTCGGCTGAAGCAGAGTATATCGCCCTTTGTACTGCGACCAAGGAAGGACTCTACCTACGAGAGTTACTCGAAGAAGCGAAGATCGCGACCCTGCCCGCCTTCTCACTCCTCTGCGACAACCAATCTGCGATCAAAATCGCGAACAAGGACGGCTTCGCCAACCGAACCAAGCACATCGCCCTGCGGTACTTCTTCGTCAAGGATGAAATCGCGAAGGGGAGACTTCAACTCAGTTACTGCCCGACGACAGAAATGGCCGCAGATTATCTGACGAAGAAATTGGCGAAAGCAAAATTCGACTACTGCATGCTCCTAACCGGGCAAACAAACGTCACCGGATCTGAACACTCCAGCACTCCAGAAACGAAGGGGAGTGTTGGAAATATCTCAAGGACTTAAGCGTTTCTGAAGTGTAACACTGTACTCGAGGAAGATTACAGGGGAGCACGCGAGTCAACGGAGGTTACACGAGGGGGCGGACAAAGAATGCGAAAGGACTCGAAAGGTCGCAACTGGAGGTTGCGACTGACCGTTACAACATCACGGATGGTAACCGAAGCGGCAATCGAGTCGCTGTGCGACTCGATAAACCGTTTCTGTAACTGTATTCTACAACTGCTTTCTTATCTTCTATATATTGCTGTATGCTTGTTTCTTTAATCAATCACTTGTTCTCACATACTAGTACAAGGGTTCAACTGCCTCAACTTCCGCTGCACTACTCCAAGTCTCAAGTCTCTACAAGCTGGGACTTAGTCTCTGCAAAAGATCCTAAGGGCTTTTTCTCAGCCCAACACCATTCCCCGTCTCGAGCCCGCCCTTATAAGCTTAATATACAATGGTTAGCAGAGAAAGCAGCAACCAACCACACTCCCTCCCACCCTCATGTAACAACCAGCTACTCCCCTTCCACTTCTGAGCCGCCCTCACCATTAGCAGGAGGCAACAGCTCTGCTGTGGGCTCAGGGGCAGGCACCGTCTTTATCACCCGGCACGGGTTGCCCACGGCCACACAGCAGTCGGGAATATCCCTGGTCACCACACTCCCCGCTCCGATGGTCGTGTGCGAGCCAATGCTCACCCCTGGGCACACAATGACCCCCCCGCCCAGCCACACGTTGGAGCCGATGGAGATGGCGTGCGCGGTCTCCACGCCCGTGAGGCGCGTGGCGGGGTGCGTGGGGTGCGCGGCGGTGTACAGCTGCACGTACGGGCCGAAGAGCACGTCGTCGCCGATGGTGATGCGGTTGCAGTCCAGCAGCACACACCCAAAGTTCATGTACACGTTGCGGCCTAAGGGCGGTGTGCAGGGGAGGGTGGGGGCGGGGGGGGGGGGGGGTGTGTGGATGAGGGCCGGTGGCAGGGAGTGAGGGCAAGTGGAGGGATTTGGAGGTATTGGAGGAAGGGGCAAGAATGGGGGAGAGGTTGGAGAGGGAAAGCAGGATATAAGGAGGAAGACAGGCCGGTGGAAGGCAGGAGACTGCGGTTGGACTGTGAAGGGCGGGGACACACGAGGGCCGGGAGACACGAGGGAGGGGAGACACGAGGGGGATGATGGCCAAAGCGTGGACTGTGACGTGCGATCCAATCGCAGCGAGCTGACGCGCCCATGGCGGGCGCGACAGGGCGACATGGCGCCACATACCCACGGAGATATGGCAGCCGTAGTCGCACAGGAAGGGCGACGTGATGAAGAGGTTGTCGCCCGCGTCGCCCAGCAGCTCGTACGACAGCTGCCGTCGCTTCTCCACCTCGCCCGCCGGCGTCGCATTCAGCGCCGCCGTCCGCTGCGTCGCCAGCTGTCGCAGCTCCACCAATGGCGGGTCCCTGCCGCGTCATGCCGAATCAGAAAGCCCGGCCACGTCAAGAGAGATTCAACGGCGAAAGCGCGCAGAGCGAGAAGCACCAATAGCAGTTGCAGGAGCGGGGGGTTGGGGGGGGGAGAAGATGTTATATTCAGGCGGCCGTCGCGCCGTCATCATTCCACTGATTCCGCGACCCTTGTCAAACGGAGAGCTGCATGCGGCGGCGTGGGCCCACTGGGTGTCACCCACTGGGCGGCACCCACTGGGCGGCACCCACCATGAGTTGTAGGGCTCCCCCGACAGCATCTTCTCCATCTCCGTCTTCGACTCCGACTCGCCTCGCTCCGCCTCGTTCATCGCGACGGGTCGCAGAGGCGACACGGAACGAATGTTATGTGAGACAGCACTGATAAATCAGATCGAGTGGGGAATTCCGGCGCGAATGACGATTTCGCTGAGGAACGGAGGCACCAGGAGATGGCAAGCTTTGATGTGCGGGGAGGAAATGAGGAAGGTCCTATTCGGCAGAATGCGGTACGGAATGCCCTGAACCCTTTCCGAGAATTGAGGACAGGGCGGAAGGCGGCAAGGCAGGGCGGATGTCACCTTCCCCTCTCGTCCCGTGTGAAGGCACCACGTCAGCATAAATTTGTACGCGCTTGGAGGTGCTGGAACAACCACTGTAAAAAGGTTTTCCTCGATAATTTTGTAGGGAACAGATTTAGTGGCAAACAAGGCTGGTCATTGGCAAGTTATGTACATCACTTGTGGAAAGAAGTTACACCTCATTGCACGCGCGCCACATGTCGCTGTGGGTTCTAGCATGACTAGAGCTTAGAAGAGCAATGCAGACTTCAAAACCCAATAGAGACATCCAGAAGTTTCTCTACAGCTCGTGCTGCAAAAGACATCCATCCACTCACGCAAACTAACATTCTTCCAGACGTCCGCTAGCTAATTGATCATTCTCCCTCTCACACATGGTTGCTGGGGGGACCTACGATGGCAAACAAATTGACAAAGCCCCACCATAAGATCCGCCAATGGTGCCTGTGTTGAGACTACAAAGTATGAATAGAAGGAGGGAGAACATGGGAGATATAGCGTTTGGGTTGTGCCCACTAAGAACATACCCTATCTAGCCTATAACTTCTATATAACAATCTATGTATAAGTTGACACACCCCGTAGGCTAGATAAGGGGTAGTGCAGAGCAAGAAACACGCAGCTTAAAGTGGCACTACTAGTCCAACCTCTGAGGCAGGGGCCCGAAGACCAGTCAGCAAGAGTACAAGCAAGACAGAGCAAACCAGGGCAGCACTACTAGTCCAACAACTGGAGGAAAAACCACAAGGCTAGTCTGCAAGGTATAAATAGAAAACAGTACACAATCAAGGGCCTAGCAAGTGAGAGCCAACAGGGACTAGACCTAACAGCAAGCAGTGCCGCTGATGATCTCTAGGCGGAAGCGCCTTAGTAAAGATATCAGCTGTGTTGGCACCCGAGGCCAAGTGTACTATGCGGGCCTAACGACACTGCTGTAGCTCGCGAAGGAGGAAGTACCGTAGTTGGATGTGCTTCGCTCTGCCCTCAAGTCGAGGCTCTTGACACAGGAGGATAATGGCCATGTTATCAGCGTATAGGGCAGAGCTAGGCCGCTCACCTAAGTCAGCAAGCAAGAAGGTCAGCTAGCGGAGCTCCTGTGCCGCAATGGCATCGGCGTAGATCTCTGCCTCGCAGCTAGACTGAGCAACAGACGAGGAGCGAGTGGACCTCCACGAGATGGCACCAGAGCCAAGGCTGAAGCAGTAGCCCTGGGAGGACCGGAGGGTCTCAGCGTCGTCTGCCCAAGGGGGGTCTGTGTGCCTAGTAAGGACCACTGGCCTGCGTCCTCCCAGCACTAGCCCCATGCCCGACGTACTTGCAAGATAACACAAAACCCTCTTAGCGGCGGACGAGTGCTGTGGTCGGTGTCTGCCTGTGGCCACAAAGCGTGCCATGATGTTGAGAGGGTATGCGAGATCTGGGCGAGTACAAGTTATCAGGTACATGAGGCAACCCACCAACTCTTTATAAGGACCACTAGGCTCTGCTGACTCCTCGGGAAATGGAGCTGAGAGCCTGAGGTCTACCGGCAGAGGTGTGGGCTGTGCAGAGGAGAACTGAAGACCGAACGTCTAAAAGGACCTGGCGTACCAAGTGTGACTGAAAAATAGTGATGGTGCGCGCTACTCTGTCCCTGGAGATCTGCAGGCCAAGGTAGCGACGCAGCTCTCCCAGGTCAGTGCAGGTGTGTCGCCTCAGCAGCTCAGCCTTCAGAGAGGCCAGCGCGTCTGTGTTTGCTGTAGCAAAGACCACGTCGCCTACGTAGACCAAGATGTAGAACGGAGTCTAGCTAGCACGAACGAAGAGCGAAGGGTCGGCAGAGGACGGAAAGAACTGTGTCGACGTAGGTGCCGGTAGCCCTCCAAGATGCCATCTCCTACTCCATGGCATCTATCCACTGAGAGGCCCAGAGTCCCGAGGTCGCCTCGGCGTAGGTGCGAGGGGTCGGGATGTCAAAGACATCGGGGTCACCCTCAGGGACTAGCAGCATGGAACAGAGATGGGGAGCAGCCTCTGACAGGAAAGCAAGCTCGTACTGTCGATCCTCCAGGGCGATACTGCAGAGGGCAGGAGCACCCCCGACGGACGGAGGACAGACAGGGTCAGAGACCAGAGCGGTAGCGAAATCAAGGCAGCGAGTAGAGGCAAAGTACCGACAGCAGCGACAAGAACGTCAAGACTGGAGACATGAACAGACGGATCAGTAACAAAGGAGGCAAGGACCCGAGTAACAAGAGGACGAACAGCACGAAGGTAGTCAAACAGAGGGGGAGGCGCGACAGCGAGCGACGACGGAGGAGGCGAAGGCAAACGGGAAGGACGAGACGGAACGAAGCAATATAGGGTGAGAACGTTGAACAGGAGAGACAGGACGAGCACGAGAGGGACGGCGAGACCAGACGAGAGACGGATGCGTCGGGTCAGGAGACAGAGAAGGAGTAACAGGAGGAGAACAAGAGGGGAAACGAGCCGAGGACAAGTTCGACGGAGGAAACACAGGACCGTGAACAGGAAGAGGGGACAACGGCGAGGGAGGCGCTGGCGAGCGGTCAGGGGAGGGAAGGTCAAGCAGGCAAAGGGCGGACACCGGCGGCGGCTGCTGCTGCTGCGGCTGAATGCCGACACCTGGACCACCAGCTGCACCACTGCTACCTCCAGTACACTCCGCGCCAGCACCCCTAGAACGAGAAACGTCTCCAGCGCCGGTGCCACTGACGAGCCCGCAGGGACAAGCCACGACAAGAGCCCCAGGACTAGCACCCTCTCCAACACCAGCACCCCTAGAGTCCACGAACGGCTGCGTTTGCGACGACAGCTGCGGCTGCGGCGGCGACTGCGACGAGGAAGGAGGAGACACCGGGGGAGGGACAGGCGGCGCAAATGGCAAGCTGGGCTACTGCGTTGCGAGAATCCCAAACAGCACGAGCAAGCGCAGCAGCAGCAAAAGCCTCGCTCTCCGAAGTGGTAGGGTCAGCAGGGAGGGGATCAGGCGCAGGGGGGCGGGGAAGCAAATCATCAACATGCATAGCTAGGGAGTGCCCATCCTGGCGCTGACGTGTCAGGTGCCGGCGGAGGTCGACGAGCCAGGCGGCGAAGTCGATCGCGTGCCCCTCAGCGTCCAAGCGAAGAACGACGTCCGCCATCGCACAGTGTGATAGCGGCACAGCGACCCAGCGGCGCAGCAACTCGGCGGCTCATTGACACGGCGGCACGGCGGTTCGGTGGCTCGGCGGCACGGCGGTACGGTGGCTCGGGGACACGACGGCTCTGCGGCGCAGGCGACGAGGCCGGCTAGGGCGCAAGGGGCCGGCTAGGGCACAAGGGGCTGGCTAGGGCGAGCGGGGCCGGCAAGGGCGCGTGGGGCCGGCTAGGGACGCGGGGGGGCCGGTAGCAGCACGAGGGACCGTAGGGGCGCGAGGGGCCGGTAGGGGCACGACGGGGCCGGTAGGGGCGTGACGAGACCGTAGGAGCGCGACGGGGCTAGCTAGGGGTGCGACGGGACCGGCTAGGAGCGCGAGGGGCCGTAGGGGCGCAACGGAGCCGTAGGGGCGCGACGGGGCTAGCTAGGGGCGCGACGGGGCCGGCTAAGAGCGCGAGGGGCCGTTGGGGCGCGACGAGGCCGTAGGGGCGCGACGGGCCGTAGGGGCGCGACGTGGTCTTATGGGCGTGACGGGGCCGTAGGGGCGCGACGGGGCCTGCTAGGGGCGTGACGGGGCCGTAGTGGCGCGACGCGGCCGTAGGGGCGCGCGGGGCCAGCTAGGGGCGCGAGGGTCCGGTAGGTTGCGGCACGGGGCGGAAGCGGGTGGGTGGACCTACCTACTTGTGATACCATGTTAACACTAGAAAGTATGAATAGAAGAAGAGAGAACAGGTGAGATATAGCATTTGGGTTGTACCTACTAAGTACATACCCTATGTAGGATATAACTTCTACATAACTCTATATGTATAAGTTGACAGCCTACACATGGGTTGTTGTACTGCTCAAACAGGGACCTGCTTCCGTCAAACGAGTTAGCGTAAACGTAGCTGCATTTCGCATACGCGGAGTACGGCTTTGACCTTCCTGAGGTGCATTCCCCAAAATCATGGGATTCAAGAGGAATCACACAAATCTGCAGCCAAGAAAACACCATTAGTGGAATAAGAGGTTAGAATGTTTAGGCTTTTGAGAGGCCGGAGTTAAATCCCGTAGCCCAATTTGTCCAAACTCAGTGTGTTTGGAAGCTTGGGATGGGCTCTTCGAGCTCTGTAAAATATTTCACCAGAATACAGGGTTAAGTTATATATTTTAAATATATAATTGTAGGCTTGGCATGTGTGTTACTGAATCCTCTTGTAGAGAGGTCAATCCCCCTTCTTGTATCTCTCTTTTCGTGTCATACACTCTTCTCTCTCGACATTACTCTCCTAGCCTAAAACCCCTCTCGCCATTCATGGCTTCCCCCCCTTAGCTAGTACATCTCAAAATGGTTTCAAAGCCGGCGGTCCGCCCTGCTGGGCCGCCTCCTCACGCTTCCGCCGCGTACCCCCCCACTTCTAGGTACTTCCGCGCCGCCGTGGCGGCCGTGTCATGCTGCCATGGCAGCTTTGTCGTGCTGCCGTGGCAGCCTCGCCGCGGCCGTCTCGACGCGCTGTCGTGGCGCCGACGTCAAGCCGTGGCGTCGTCGTCGACGTCGAGCCGTGGCGGCGTGACGGCGTCGTCGACGTCAGCCCACGGGCGGCAGTGGGCCACGCACTGGTTTAGGCACCAGGCAGCAAGCCCGCACTCCAGCTCGCCGCGCCTCCCAGCTCGTCGTGTCGGACCCTGCTCGCCGCGTCGGACCCAGCTCGCTGCGTCGGACCCAGCTCGCCGCGTCGGTCCCAGCGGACCCAGCTCGCCGCGTCGGTCCCAGCTCGCAGCGTCGGTCCCTGCTCGCCACGCCAGCCGGCTCCGCCCCGCTGCAGCTCAAGGATGCCTAGCGCCTTCCTTCCCTGCAGTCACCTCTGCTGCAGGGTATGGGGGTGCTAGGCTTAGAGGTGTTGCATATGGGGTGGGCTTAAGGAAGATAGACGTCCTCACACGACCAGTTGTCAGCTTGGACCACCAGCGTTGAGGCAAGCGTCCAGTTCATCCCTACAAAGGAGAGCAAAACAACAAAGCAGCAAAGCATGCAAAAGGGTATTGCTGCCTCGGGTGACAAAAGCCATGCAATGTGACAGCACAGAGAGAGAACGAGATAGCTAAAGTGAAGAAAACAAGACGAAGACGAAAAAAACCAATGGCTAGGGGTTAGAAGAGCTATGGGTAGGTTAGAAAGCATAATCATGCAGCAGTTGAAGCCTGGAGGTGCTGAGATCGTTCAGTGGGGTTGATACGTCAAGGCAGGCACTAGGTCACATCTAGCACCCCTTGTAAATGACCTACCTCTTCCATACCTACCCCTTCCAAACTCACCAGTCTCGATAGTGAAGCGGCAGGTGGGGAGGCCGTTGGATGTGGTGGCAGCGGTGTGCGTGGGAGGGCAGATGCAGGTGTACGAGCCGCTGCCATCGTTGATGCATGAGCCCACGGCGCAGGGGTTGCTCGTCCCACTGCCACACACATCCACTGGCGGAGGGGGGACGGGGGGAAGCACCTTTACACAGCAAGGTGAGAGCGGCAGATGTGTGCGTGGGGGGGGAAGAGTAAGGCACAGTTGTTGGTTGGAGCAGAGGGAGAGGTTTAGCTGAAAAGGAGGGCGTGGAGGAGAATAGGGAGAGATGATGCACATACGGTGGCATGACAGCGGATGTGGGGAGTGAGTGGAACATGCTAGGCGAATGCGGGCCCTAGAGGCTCTCGAGCGTGTGGTGGTGGCGTGACATCAAGGATCGGGGGGAATGGGACCGCGACGGAGAGATAAGGGATGGGGAGGGAAAGTGGGGTTGGGGGAGGGAGGAAGATTGTGAGGGTGGGACAGCGGCAGAGCATGGGGGGGCGAGAGAGAAAGTAGAATGGAAGAGAGGGGAGTGGCAGAGAGAGAACAGTCGAGCTTACAGGTGGTGGGTGTGTCCGACAAGGGGTGGGAAAGCACGTCTGGCTGCTGCGACGGTGCTGCAAGCTGGCATGCGCCATTGGCAGCAGTGGTGTAGCCGTCAGAGCAGCGGCACGCCACTCCCTTGCGGTCAGTGGTTGCGACGCACGAGGAGTTGATGGGGCACACCACTAGCCGGCAGATGTTGTCTGGCACATGGAAGGGGGAGAGGGCGGGGGAGGGGGAGGGGGAGGGGGAATGAGGTAGGCACAGACACAAGAGAGAAGATACTTGTGGTTGGAAAGATGCCGGGAAGAGGAGTAAAGGGCAGGTGGGGGTATGAGCAGGCTTAAGTGGCGTGCACAAGATCAGATTTGCTCTGGAGAATGGGCAATGGAACGGGGGTGGGGGGGGACGGGAATGGGGACGGAGAGGGGGAGGGGGAGGGGGAGTGGGGAGAGGAGGGGTAGGGGGAAGGGGAGGGGGACGGGGGAGAGGACGAGAAGGGGGAATGAGGCAGGCTTTGCGCTGACACATGAGGAGGAGGAGAGGAGACGAGGAGAGAGGGCAGGTGGAGGAGTGAGTGGAGTAATGTGGCGTACAAAAGAGCAGCAGGGCACGCACCTATGATGCAGCGGACCGACCTCACTGATGCAGACACCTTCTTAGACCTGCGCACAAGGGCCACGCGAGGGAGCAAGGGGCCATGCGAGGGAGCAAGGGCCACGCGCAAGGGCCACGCGAGGGAGCAAGGGCCACGCGAGGGAACAAGGGCCAGTGGTGAGCTGTGCTGCAAGTTGAGAGCATACAAGTAGCGACTGGAAGAAAGCAGCCTCCCCCTGCATGCCCACCCACCCCTGCACGCCCCACCCTCCCCTTCTTGCCAACGCACCCCTTCTTGCCAACGCACCCCTTCTTGCCAACGCACCCCTTCTTGCCAACGCACCCCTTCTTGCCGGGCACAAGAGTCTGAAGCGCCTTTCCTGCGTAGCCACGACCCCTGAAGAGCTGGATCTTCTTGCAAGCGGGCCGGCCCGCCTGCTGCCACCGCACCTGCACCACCTTCTTCCCCGCACGGCCCCCCCTGCTGGCAGGCACGTCGACGCAGCGAAGCACATCGAAGGTGACCGGGCGGCCATTGGAAGGAGCTCGAAAACGACTGGCGACAGGCGACTGGCGGTCATTGCTGAAATCTCAATCTAACCACGGCACCCACCACATCGCGCGTGGGGGGAGGGTTTCGCGCCCTTCAGCTACTCCTGCAGATGGCGCCATTCGCGGGGATTCCCCGCGGCGAGCGGGGAAAGCGGCGACCCTTCTCGGAGGGGGACGCAGAGAGCCGAGGGCCGTAGAGGCGAGGGAACGCGTTCGACCGTGGCTGACGACATCGAGTCGTCGCACAGAACGCGTTTGTGATCCATAAGACGGAAGCACGCGTCGCAACGCAAGGCCATGGCTTCGGGCGACTCCTAGTTGGTTTTAGAGTGAGTTGCGACGGAAAAAAAGGTGGTGTGATGCGGCGACCTCGGTCATTTAGTCGCAAAACGAGGTGCTAAGCGCGGTCAAGGGAGGAGTTATTGGTGTTCCCACATAGCCCCAGTTGCAATAACAGAACGCGCAGGGAACGCGTTTGAGGAATGGTAGTACTTTCCGCGTTATGGTTATGGCCGTTGTCGGTTCCTGATAGTTACTTTCTGGAAATTGGGACAGAAACTTGTATAAATCCATAAATTACGCAAAGAATAGGTTATTCTTTCATCAAATACCCGACCAGATATACGCATTCCACAACATCTTCTACAGACGGGCCAATGTTTTATGACACTCACGGATAACACGACACGAGAGCTTGTCCTTACGCTTTGTTCGAAGTTCACAGGTCTACATTTCACCTCGGTTTCTATTAATTGGGCTCTAGTATGTTACATGTGTAGGAGTCAGAAGACCAAATGGTCTGGATCCACATGATCCGTGCGAGTCAGATAACGCATGGAGCTAGTTGCATGGTGATTTGTGGCTATGAAGGTGGTGGAGAGGCGGTGATGGCAACCTGTTACATGCACACACCATGGCACAACAAGGAGAGGCGAGAAGAAAGTGGGGAGTGAGAAAATGGGAAGCGCAGCGGGTCTGAGAAAGGGAGGCGAGGGGGTGTAAGATAGAGAGGAAGAGAAGGGGAGAGGGGAGGCGGGTAAGGGGAGGGATGGACAAGAGAAGCTGAAAATCTGCCCAAGACTACCATACCACTGCTTGCTGTGCATGGTACCCAGACGCACCGGACTCTGCCTCACCCCCTTTGCCACCACCTCTTTTCGGCTTGTACCACCTCTTCTCAGATTGCACCACATTGCACCACCTCTTCCCACATTGGGTCAACCTTGATGCTTCAGCTGGTGGTTGAAAATCTGGTCCCAGTTGCTGCACCTCCCCATGCCTTCCGCACCCAGCCGCCCTCCACCCCTCACCCCTCACCCCTCACCCCTCACCCCTCACCCCTCATCCCGCACTCACCCCTGACCCCTGACCCTCCCCCCTCCCCCCTGACCCCTCACCCGGTGGTTGTTGCTGGAGCAGTGGGAGAAGGAGCCGTAGGGGAAGTACATGGTGGAGGCGGTGAGGGGCGCGCTGCCGCACTTCCCCATGCTCACCCACCCCCCTCAACCTCACCCCTCACCCCCCTTCACCTCCCCCCTGACCCCTCACCCGGTGGTTGTTGCTGGAGCAGTGGGAGAAGGAGCCGGAGAGGAAGTACATGGTGGAGGCGGTGAGCGGCGCGCTGCTGCAGCCCTGCGCCATGCCGTCCGTGGCGTTGCAGTACGCGATGTAGTTCTCGTAGTTGCACGCCGTGTAGTCCGCCAGCGTGGGAACTATGTACACCTCGTCCATGTACGCCTCGTACTTGAACACTATTGGGGGGGGGGGAGTGGCAGGGACGGGGGTGGCATGGACGTGTGGGGCAATTTGTGGGGTATGTGTAGGGTTTGATGAGGGTGGAAGGGCAAAGGAAGGTGTTGAGGAAGGGCAAAGGAAGGTGTTGAGGAAGGACGAGGGTGCAAAGGAAACAGCGTACGGCGGATGAAGGAGCTTTCAAGGCTTCTTGACCACCGTGCTTCCCAGTAAAAACCCCGTTCTCCATGAGCATGGGGAGAGAGAGAAGGTGCACACTCCTGTCCATGCGACCACAGAACACCAACTGGCCCATAAACTCCCCACCGCCACACCACGGCAAGCGCGTGAACGCACCGAGCACGTCGCCGACGTAGACCTTGTTGTCGCGCGCCCACGCGGCGTAGTCGACGGCGGGGTTCCACGGCCACTTGAACGCCGCTGTGGCCCGCCCCACCACCACGCGCCGAGGCACGTACGGCCGCGCCTTCACGCGGATCGACACCTGCGGAGAGAGCAGGGCGGGGAAGACGCATGCCGATGGGGGCGAAAGTGGTGACATGTTTGCGGGAAGGGCGGAGGGGCGAAATGAGAGGTGAGGGATGGCTGAGGACGACGGGGGCGCGGGTGAAAAGAAAAGATGGGCGCGCACACACGATCACGACTACACACCCACACTGCCCCCCTCCTCCTCCCTTCCCCTCCCCCCCACCCCCCCACACGCGCACCTTGTGCATGCGCTGGCAGCGCCCCAGCATGCCCGACGCGAAGTACATGGTGCCCAGCTCCGCCGCCACGCGGCATCCGCGCACGCCCTCGCCGTCGCGGCACAGCCGGCGCGCGCTGGCGTAGCTGCACGTGTCGTAGTCGGCCTGCGAGGCGAAGCGGTAGATCTCGTCCGAACCGAACGGGTACTTGAACACTGGACGCCGGGATGGGAGGATGCGAGGAGGGGGGGAGGGAGGGGATACGAGGGACAGCAGCGCCGGGACGATATGAGGGCAAGAGTGCGGGAGAGCAGCTGGGGAAAAGATGGCAGAAGGGAAGGGGGTGGCCAGCGCACGAACGAGGGAAGGGAAAGACCGGGGGGTACAAGCCTTGGGAGAGACGCGCGGTAGACGAGCTGCTCAACTGCTTGGAAGATTTCGCGTCGGGAGAAAGGTCGAGAGTCCAGCCTTGCGGTTGACAGTCCGTGAGTCTCTGTTGTGCCCTAATCTCAAGAAGCCTCTGCCGCGCTGGTGCCTGGGACTGCCACAACGGTTCGCGCGCGCTACTCACCGACTGGGAGACGGTCTTTGGAGTCGACGAGAAGTTACCATGACTGTTTGCGCGCGCCACGCTACTCACCGAGAGCGTCGCCGGGGTACACGGACTGGAGCGCGCTCCACGCGGCGTAGTTCACGCCGGGGTTGAACGTGTACGCGAAGTTGCCGTTCGCCTTCCCCACCACCACCGCCTTCGACGCATTCCCGCCAACCCCCGCTCCGCTCCCACCGCTGGCGCCGGTGCCGCTGCCAGTGCCGGCGCCGACCTGCTGAATGGACGCGAAGACTCGAGTCGAATGGTGACCTGACAATCCGCTGAGGCGACTCCTCACCGCCCGGTGGCGGAGGTTGGCTTCGTGAATGGCGGCTATGTCCGTGAGGGAAATCTCGTAGTCCTCTGCGGTGACTAGAGCGGCGAGTAGTGAGAGTAAGGCGAGTGAGAGTGCGGCGAGGACTGCGACGTGCGGTCGCAGTGCGCGGAGCGTGGTGCGCAGGCGGGGATGGGAGGTCGGGTTGGGGGACCGCATGGCACAACGAGGCGCGAGGAGTAGTCGAGTGTGATGATTCAGTGCTTATAACCTCGATGCGCGACGCCCTAAGGACACATCTCTACGGATATAGCTGTAAGCCGGCTTCGAGGTCGTTTCTAGTGATAGGGTGCGGGAGCGTGTGGACTAACGGCAGGGCATGAGCGAATGTGCTCCGGCAGAGAGATTTTTGGGGCGAACATCTCTCCCTCGACACAAAGCTTGGAATGAACTCCCTAGTCCCTTCCCATCCCAAGGTCTATCAAATCAAGCGTCGCCCACACCCACGATGCCCAATTCAAATCACCCCAGCCAATGTCCCTCCGCGCTTGGTCGTGGCATGGTGCTGATGGCTTCCGAGCCGCGGGTTTGTAGCTTCCCGCCACACCGACAATGCTTGCTGTTGGGTTGTGAGTGGATCGCGGATGAGACGACTTATGCGTATTAGAAAGAATAGATATAAAACAAATCTCTTGCTCGTTCTAGCGCCTGACCTACATTAAACCAACATGCACCACGTACTTACATATTTGATGCAACCCAGCCCTTTGCTCTAGTGGCTCCAGAATGATACAATGGGTTACGTAGTTCCTCAAAGATTGTGTTCCTATGCCTCTTATCAGATCCACCTCTAATCATATCAGAGTATTATGTGTCAACCAATCTATTTGTATAGACTAGCTAGGTCATATTTGTTTATAGCCTAGCCAGATTAGTTCTTAGTGAGTACAACCCTAGTTTTGTATCTCTCGACATTTTCTCTTAGTCCATTGATTCTTTCGATAACCTAACATGCTAAAGAGCTAAGTAGTTTCCGCATCTCACACTTCCGCTGGTGTAGAATTTTTGTTTTTTCAGCACCTCCAGCTCTCGAATTTCGCGCTTTGTAGGTACGCCTCGCTGGCCCCATCAGCGCCCCGCTGGCCCCGTCAAGCCCTGCTAACCCCGTGCGCCCCGCCGGTCCCGTACGCCCCGCTGGCCTGGTTCGCCCCGTTGGCCCCGTTAGCGCCCCGCTGGCCCCGTCGAGCCCCACTAGCCCCATGAGCCCCGCTGGCCCCGTGCGCCCCGCTGGCCCCGTTCGCGCCCCGCTAGCCCCCTCGCGCCCAACTTGCCCCATGCGCACCGCTGGTCCCTGTCAAAGTATATATCTTTGTGTAGGCTTGGTAGTTGTGCTACTTACTGAATCCTACTGTAGAGAGGACAACCCCCCCTTCTTGTATCTCCTTCTCTTCTAGTCCACCTCTCTTTTCTCTCGCCAACTTCTCCTCCCTCTCGTAACTCACGCCCCCTAGCTAAACCTCTCGCTATTTTCATAGTGTCCCACCTAAATACCTTCTAGCAACCTCATGACCTATTTCGACATGGTATCAGCGTAGGCTCAACCTGCTGGACCTTCTTCTCTCGCTTCTGCTGTGCACTCCTCTCTCTCTCTCTCTCTCTCTCTCTCTCTCTCTCTCTCTCTCTCTCTCTCTCTCTCTCTCTCTCTCTCTCTCTCTCTCTCTCTCTCTCTCTCTCTCTCGCTGCCATGGCGGCCACGTCGTGCTGCTGTGGCGGCGTCGTCGTGCCGCCAGCCGCGTCGTGCTGCCGCGGCGGTCTCGACGCGCTGCCGTGGCAGCCTCGTCGTGCTGCCATGGCGGCGTCGATGCGCCACCACGCGAGCGGCAGTGGGCCGCGCACCGTGTTAGCTGCGTCCAGCCCGCCCGCACGCCAGTAAGCGCTGCGCCAGCCATGGCGCCCTGCTAAAGATCCACCCCCCGCCCCTTCCCCATTCCCCTCCTTTGTCTTTCCCCTCCTCCCCGTCGTAGCTGCTGGCGACCTCGTGCCGTCCTCCCCCTCGTCGTCGCAGGTTGGGCCACGCCGCCAAGTGCTGCGAGCTCCGCCGCCGCCGCCGCTGTCGTCGAAGCCGCCGCTGCCACAGCTGGTGCTGCTGGCCTTGCAGCCGCCGCCGCTGTCATCGCTGCCGCCGCCGCTGCCGCTGCCTTCGATGCCCACGTCGCCACCTCGCTTGCTGAGGAGTCGACCGGCTGGTCGACGCCATTGCTGCTGCAGGGAATGGGGGTGCAAGGATGTGGGGGTTCTGCGGGTGGGATGGGCTTGTCACTACCAAGCATAGGGGGTGTGTCAATGTATATATATTTAAATATGTATGTTTGTGTAGGCTTGGTAGTTGAGCTACTGACTGAATCCTACTATAGAGGGGATAACCCCCCCTCTCGTATCTCCTTCTCTTCTAATCCACCTCTCTTTTCTCTTGCCAACTTCTCCTCCCTCTCGTAACTCACTCCCCCTAGCTAAACCTCTCACCATTTTCATGGCATCCCACCTAGCTACCTTCTAGCAACCTCACGACCTATTTCGGCAGTCCCGTGCGCCCCTCTAGCTCCGTTTGCCCTGCTGGCCCCGTTAGCACCCCACTAGCCCCGAGTGCCCCGCTAGCCCCGTGCGCCCCGCTAGCCCCGTGTGCCCCGCTAGCCCCGTGCGCCCCGCTAGCCTTGTGCGCCCCGCCGGCCCCTCACTCGCCGACCCCTGCTCCGCGGGCCACAGCCCGCACCGGCTCCGCGCCGTCCTTCTGCCGCGTCGCCGTACCGCCGAGCCGCCAAGTAGCTGCGCCGCCGTGATGCTCTGCCGCCCCCGGACCTACCGGCCTTGGCTCCCTTCTGAGCTGGCACATCTGCCAGCTGTCTACACCGCACTCCACAGCACTCCACCGTACTCCACCACTCCCTACTGTACTCCACCGTACTGCACCGCTCTCCACCACTCTCCACCACTCTCCATCGCTCTCAGCTGCCTTCTTTCGCCTTTCCTCCTCTCCCTGTCAGCGGCAGTCAGCTGCTGCAGTCGGGGTGATGACGGACTCACTACTTCGCCTGGACGCGGAGGGCCGGGTGATCGACTTCCAGGCGTGGCTCGTCGACCTGCGCCGTCACCTTACAGGTCAGCGCCAGAACGGTCACTCCCTGGCTGTTCATGTTGATGGCCTGCTTCCCCGCCCTGCTGCGCCTGTTGCCCTCCCTAACACCCCCACCATTGCTGAGCGTGAGGCCTTTTCCGCTGCTGCGCTTGCTCGCGCTGTCTGGGACTCGCGCGATGCAGTTGCACAACTTGCTATCAATCGTGCACTTCCCCTGTCTGAGCGTCCTGCTTTACCACCGTAATGGACGCCAAAGAATTCTTAGATGTCGTCATCGCGCGCTATTCTACCCCAGCCTTAGCTGGCCGCCTGATCCTCTCCATGCTGTTCCCTAATCTTGCTTCCTTCCCCACTGTTGCCGATCTTGCCACTCACCTCCGCGCACTAGAGTCTAGCTACCGCGCCGCTAATATTGAGGCTCAGCTGACTGCCTTTCCGCCGCCGCTTTGCGCTACCCTTTACCTCATTGCCACGCGCCTTCCTGATCGCCTAGCCACTGCCCACGACCACTTCCTTCGTCAGCACCCCGGTAACCTCACCCTCACCACATTTGTCATTGCCCTATCCGCGATAGAGACACGCCAGCACACTATCGCTCAGTCTAGTGGTACTGCGCCGGTCCCTATTTTTCAGGGTTGTGCTCCCTTATAGTACACTTACTCTGACGTCTCTGCCGCTGTTGCTGAGACTGCCGCGTCCGGGTAGGGCACACCATCGCTCGCTGCTTCCGCCGCCTGGAAGACCTCTACCGTCGTCAATTCGGCCCGCTGGAGCAGGTACCCCTTTGGCGTGTGTTGCTTCATTGTGGAGTTCCAATATTTGGTATGGATATGATTCAGATCGATTGTGTCTTGTATTCTCTGTATTTTGATGCTTCTAGTTTTGCTAGTTATTAATATCCTGTTATTTGTAGCCTTGGAGCTACTGATGTGTGTAGTCTAGGATCCCCTGCTGTGTCAGGCGTAGGACTTGTTAGAGACTATTCACTGGGCCCCGCCATTTCGGCCCTCTCGTTTGTCCTAGACTCTGACGTGTCTCGGTGCTTTTTTCAAGACAATACTGCTCTCACCCTGCTTCTTTTGCCTGTCCGCGCCGCACTAGCAGACTCCTCACCACAGCTATCGCACATAGTACCACCACACTCCCCTGTCCAATTGTCTTCCCCGACTCCCTCTCATGCCTGCACATCCCCTCGTTTGCTAGGAATCTAGTGAGTGTCGGTTACCTCCAGGACCGAGGCGTCACCTCTACGTTCCCTGGCCGCGAGAGACACGCAACGTGCACAGACACAGCCACCGATCAACACTTAGCCACTTTTGAGCGGAACCCAGGTCAAGCCTCTTTACAGTGCATAATGAGTCCCTGCTCTTGTGGTACAACCGCTTAGGTCACCCTGCACTCTCGCGTTTTAGGCACATGTCCCAGCACGGTCTAGTCATTGGCCTTTCTGCATCTCTCCCCGCCCTACCTTCGTCGGTAGCGCCAATGTGCACCTCCTGCGTCGAGGGCCGGCAGCGCGCCGCCCGTCACTCGTCCTCGTTTCCTCCTACCACAGTGCCGCTACAGACACTGCACATGGACGTGAGGGGCCCTACCCCGGTCCATGGTCTTAGTCGGGAGTGCTACTTCCTAGTTGTTGTTGTCGACTCCTCGCGCTTCACAACAGTGTTCTCGTTGGAGCGGATGGCCGACGTGCCTACCGTTCTCCTCCCGTGGCTTCTTGCTATTTGCACCCACCACCGCCTGCCTGTAGGTTGCCTGCACTCTGACCGTAGTGGCGAGTTCGCCTCTGGCACTCTATGACTGTTCTGTCGCGCGGAGGGCATTCGCCAGACGTACACACTGCCCACAGAAGAATGGGGTCGCTGAGCGACGCATCGGCCTGGTCATAGTGATAGCCCATACCTCTATGGTCCACACCGGTGCACCCCATTTTCTGTGGCCGTTTGTCGTGTGCTACACTGCTCACCAGGTTAACTTGTGGCCCCGCTCCCAGCAACCACAGGTTTCGCCGACCCTTCTCTGGACCGGGTCTCCTGGTGACGCGTCTGCGTTCCACGTCTGGGGCAGCCTTGCTCACGTCCGCGACACTGGCACGAACAAGCTCTCACCCCATGCCCTTCCTTGTGTCTTCCTTGGGTTTTCGATTGACGCCCCTGACTGGCTGTTCTACCACCCGACACACCACCACTTCCACCGCTTTTGTAACGTTATGTTCGACGAGAAGCTCCCCTACTACCGGTGCTTCCCGCACCGCAGCGCTCCCATGCCTCCTCTTCCTCTCTTCCTTGTCCCTGACCCGCCTAC